TCCCCCGACCGCATGGTCAACCATGTATTGAAGAGTTTGGTGGAGACCATCATAGAAGAATTGGTTGAGCACACCGAGGCAAAAGTGGTGATGTGGGCATTGGAGTTGATAGCCCTTGAATCGTTCTTAAGCCTCGTGGAAAGTCTCACCGATATTTTGGCTAAAGCTAGCCATTTGAGTCCGGAGGTCGGTGGTCTTTTGATGGGAGTAGTACTTGCTCATGAACTTCTCGTATACGGCTTCTCACGTGTTGAATGAGCTCGGAAGCAATGTCATGAACCAAGTCTTGGCTCGGTCTTTCAAGGTGTAAGGGAAGCATCTCATTCGGAGTTGATTCTCGGTTAGGCCTTGGAGTGGGAATGTGTTTACGGTTGCATAGAAATCTCGGATGATGTTGAGAGCATCCTCTTGAGCTAGGCCGTAGAATGATGGAAGTTGGTTTAGTTGGATGGTCTTGAGATCATAATTTCGGGCCGCCTCCCCGAGCACAAGACATGAAGTGTTGTCTCCAATGATAGGTCGTGCAAAATACCTCATGTGCGGGGGAGGTTGTGGAAGTTGCTCTCCTTGTCCCGCCATTGTTTCGGTTTCGGGTTGCGGTTGTGGCTCCTCAATATTAAGCTCAACGAAAAAGTCGATCGATGGTGTCTTCTTTACGGGTCTACCTCGTCGTCTACCTCGCATACAAACAAACAACCACTATACCCGTAAACGTATCAATGGGAAACGAGATAAAGCTCAAGAAACAAACACAAATTGTCGGCAAAAAGCAAGAGAAATCAAGAGAAACACGGAAATTAAGCAAAAAGCACAAAAATAAAGAGAAACACAAGAAAAAAAGACAATCAAATAGCGAACTAGGCGTCCTACTTGCCTTCCCCAGCAACGGCGCCATTTGTTTGGTATAGATATGATGGGCAAAGGATAACCGAGTTACCCGACTCGGGTCGATCTCGAATGAAGGCTATTCGGAGCTTCGTCTACTAAATGATCGTCCAAATCACAAAAATCGAAAATAAAATCCTAAACATTCTAAACAATTGATTGGATGGTTGATTAACACTACTTGAGCACTTAAAAACGAGCAATTAATTGAAAGCAAGGTCAAAAGATGAGCAATTCGCAAACTAGATCACCGGAGTCTCAAACCATAACAAATACGGGATAATAATCAATCGACATACGGAATAAACAAGCTACGAGCATTAGATGGTTAACCCTAGTCATCTAGTCGAGATCAACAAGTAATTAACAGCTCTATCTACTCAAGCAAGCAATCAAGTTCAAGCATTTCCACCATCATCAATCAAATCCAATTTACTCTAATGAAAATTATAAGTAAAACCGGAGCAAAAACGAAGTAAAGAGCTTTAAAATTAAATACTCAATCTCCCATTGCGTAGACGATGAAAAACGGAGTCAAAAGCTCGAAACTTGAATGAAACCGAAGTCGCCGGAAAATCTCCCGAAAAATAGCATAAGCTCCTAATCTAGAGAGTAAAATAAAATAAAAGCTGATTTCCCAAAGTGGAGAAATGAAAAATGAGAGTTGGATTCTCAAAATGCAAAGGAAGAAAAATATTTATACTACCACCCACACACACACTAAAACATGCAGTTTAAATGAAGGCACTCTCGACGTAGCCATAAAATTCGCGAGCTCGC